TCGAAGACCCAGTGGCAGGTGGCAGGCCACTAAAGCTTGAATCGGAAAACGCAGATCACGTCGCAACGGAAGGCACAGAGGAGGATCAGGGACTGATCGAGCCGAGAGACCAAGCAGGTGAACCCGATCGGATGATCGGACCAGCGGAAGTACTGGTGAAGCCGGACGGGGAAGCCAACGGCGACATGGATGACGCAGTCTGTTACCACGAAGGCGGAGACATCTTCCCGGAAGATATCGAGAACCACATGGCGGTGTTGCCGGAAGTCGAGGCCACCACGAGAGAAGTCACGATAGGGTGGAAGATCCAGATGCGACGCCGAAGGAGGTTGAACGGCTGCGTCGCATCATATGGAAGCGGCGTCGCCTCTTGATCGGAGCTGGAAACGCACTGTCACCCGCAGCCCATGGGGCGATCTGCGATACTGATATCTGAAACGCGAAAGCTGTAGCCTAACGCTGCCGAAGAGTAGCCCCGCACTTACGTGAGAAGTTATCCATGCTCATCAAGGGACTGTTGTCGGCGACAATCATTACCCCTTCAACCTCACACTGGGCGTCACCCATAGTGGTCATTATAAAGGCAAACGGCATGGATATCCGCCTCTGCATCGATTACCAAGTAGTAAACAGCTTGACGAGATTGATGGTGTACCCGATGCTGTTGATCAACGATCTCCTCGATGACTTGGACAAGGTGTTTTGGTACTGCTCCCTCGACATGGCGAGTGAGTCCTGGGTCGTGTCCATGACGCCACGGGCGAGACTGATTTCAGCGTTTACCACACCATTCGGATTAGTCGAGTGGACGAGGATGCCGTTCGGTCTAAAGAACGCTCCGCAGATCTACCAGCGGATCGTAGACAACGTCCTATATGAGCACATGCGCATCAAGCCCGACCAAGACAAGGCAGTAGATGTGCGATCGTACGTCGACGACATTCTCGTGACTGGAGACACGTGGACAGCATGTGTAACAAGGTCGACAAGCTGCTGGATGTATCTGATCGTTGGAACCTATCGATCAGTGTAGCTAAACGCTACTGGGGCAGGCTCAAAGTGACCTACCTGGGCCACCAAGTATCGGCAGACGGGTTGGAGGTGTAGCCGAAAGACCTCGAAGCCTTCTCGAATCTCCCGTTCCCCACCAAGCTGAAGTCAATGCAGTCGTTTCTTGGAAGCCTGAATTACGACATCCGGTTCATCGAGGACTTTGCAGTCTATGTAGCAATCTTGTATGACTTCAGGAGTAAATTACGACGAGATCGTACGGTTGAAGTTGACCGTAGAGCCGGGGGAAGGGACAGCACCAGCGGACGAGGAACGCGATCGCTGGACACGAGCAATGAATGCGTTCATCATACTCAATGCGAAGATTATCTCCACCCCGATCTTGAAGCACTTCGATCCGGGGCGGGCGCCAATCATAGTCCTCTATGCTAACATGTGGGCGATCTCGGTGGCGTTAATGCACGAACAGGCGGTGTGTATTGGCCAGTGGCCTTCACCATAGACGTCTGCTACTTGCAGCTAGTCACCAGATCCATCAAGGTGCTATCGCGTTTTTCCACGGTAGCCTGGCTCCTGAAGCAGAATGGGCTAGACGGGCGTTTGGGCAGGTGGCTGATTTGTTGTCTGACTGGACGTTGGAAATTACGAAATGTTCCAAGGGAAAAGAAGAAATCCTAGGAGCGATCGCTGCGAGCATCACGCCTCGAAAGGAAGTTGATGAAGCCCTAATCGCAATAGCCCCGAAGCAGCTACCTCGGAAGATGATTGCCATGATTACTCCAACCGTAGAGCCGAAAGAGAGCCTGTTGGTGGCGAGCTTTGACGGATCGGCACGAGCGAAGCGTGCGGGAGGCGCATACAGTGCGATCCTCTGGAAACTCCTCGAGTGGACGATCCTCGAAGCAATGTCCGAACACATGCCGGACTTGACAGTGAACGAGGCGGAGTACAGAGGATTGCTACTGTGTTTCGATCTCCTCTCGACTCAACCCAGGGGACGAGTCGTGATCTGTGGTGGCTCCAACTTGGTGATCCGCTAGATGAGAGGCGAGATCGACTACAAGGCGCCACGCCTGTAGCTGTTACGCCAGAAGGCGTTGGGCCAACTGCGATCTTGGCCAAAGCACGAATTCCTGCACGTAAAGCGAGATTGGAACCAAAGTGCCGTCAAGCTCGCTAGTGCTGCATTGCAGTGTGAAGAAAGCGAGATCGTGACATTAGAAGAAGAACAGCAGGACCTGATCACGCTGAACAGATTGCACGAAATACTGCAACCAAGGTCGGCCAGACCAGTGACTCACGTGAACGCGATCACTCGATCTGCGGTAAATCGGACGCCACCACCGGCAGTGATGGAGGAATCGGTTGTGCGACGTATACGGAGTCACCGGATCAAGTAGGCACAAGACGAAGAGAAGTGGATCGTAGACCTGAAGGCGTACCTGAACGGTGACCTGAACGATCGAAGGAAGAAGCGAAGACGTGCTCGAAGATCACCGCAACGTATGAGGTCGACGAAGACGGACGGTTGTTTTATTGCCCGAGGGCCCTGCCACGAGACAAAGATCGCGACGACGTCGTCATACTGGTGGTGTCGGAAAGCTTGAAACAGGGTTTCCTCCATCATTACCACACGAGCCTGGAAGGAGGCCATCACAGTGTCGGGAGAACATACCGTAGAACCCGGACGCACTTTCACTGGCATAACCTGTATCGATGTGTCCAGCGCTACGTAGGAGAATGCACAGACTGTGAGACAGGAAAAGGGAAACCGATAGATCAAGGAAGATCGCCGGGGAATGTGCAAGGCACGTCCCCGTTCCACGTCATATCCATGGACCACCCGTCCCTACCGAAGTCCTTTAAGGGGAACACGGAGTTACTGTTTTGGGCTGATCTGATCACGGGATACGTGGTCGTCAAAGCTGGATTATCGCTGGGAGCCCAGGCTGTGGCGGAAAACTACGAGGAATGCGTCTTCAGACGGTTTGGCGCAAGCGAAGTTATTAGGCATGATCGGGAGCCAGGATCCATGGCCGATTTCTTCCGCTTGTTTAATCGGATCGTGAAGATGAGACAGAGTCCAACCATGGCCTACCGCCTAAAGGGTAATGGAAAAGAGGAGCGAACGGTGCAAACGCTAACGAGAGCGCTGAAGATGTATGTTACCGACGTCAACCAACAGGACTGGGACGACTAAGCCGAACGCTTGACGTTTGCTCTCAACACGACGCAAGATCGAGTTTGTGGAGACACATCCCTTTATCTGGTGCATGGGTGGAACGCAAGATCAACGCTGGAAACGACGCTCCCGATTGGATTCACAAGGAGGAAAGACAGCGATGCCCGCCGGTGAAGGTATCGTCTGCAATCGCAATATCGACGGGCGAGAGAAGTGGTGAACAGCGATCTTCGAAAAGCGATAGAAGCTAGAGCTGCTCAACATAATGGTCGAGTTAGGTCCCACAAGATTGAGCCAGGATCACAAGTATGGCTCTACCTGGACCGAGTGAAGGAAGGGTTCGCGAGGAAACTGCGCCACATGTGCCACAGCCCTTTTCGTGTGACCGATCTCATCGGCGATCATGCAACACGCGTAGAGACTAGTGGACCAGAATAGCGCATCTTCCCTGTGGTACACCTGTCGAACGTGAAGCCGGTAAAAGCGTTTCCCGACTGTCCAACCTACACCCTGCTCGCCGATGAAGAAGGTCGAGTCGACTTCGATGACGCTCTACTCCCGGAGGATAGCTGGGAGACTCTGTTGGGAGAGGACGAGTTCGAGGTGGGACGGATTGCCGACGTAAGGGCTGGACACCGCGCGCAATATGGCCGCGTCCACCAAGAGTTCCAGGTGTTTTGGAAAGGCTATCGCGAACCCACATGGGTGGACGAGGCCGATCTTAATTGTGGGGCGCTCTTGGCTGAGTTCGAGCGAACCTGGAAGAGTCGTAGCAGTTTCAACGTCATGTAGTCGCATGAAGAGGCGTCGGACAACCTGTGACCGAGAGACGGTGCAAGTGGAAAGAAGAAGAATGTGCAGGATGAGTGCAAATTAGGTGGAGGGTATATGTGAAGAGTATAACAGTCATGTTGAATTAGCTAGCAGGGCACAATGGAGGCTCGCTACAAGCGGGTGAAGCGAGAAAGAAGGAGTAGAGCCGATCAAACCGGCACGCAGGACTAAACTCAGAGATCGCCCAGGGGAACGAG